GGAGTACAGGCCAGAGGCGCGGGAGGGTGAGAGGATTCACCAGAGACAGAGTAGGGAACAGAACAGGCAGACAGACCGAAAGCATTGCTGAGGGGATAGCAGAGGTCTGCTGCACCATGTGGGTTGCTCCCTGGCTGGCCGGGAATCCAACTAGTGCTGCAGAGGCTGCGGACAGCTTCACAGCTCTGTGCTCAACCCGGCGTGCCACCAGGAAGGCCCAGAGATGTGCTTATGTTAAGGGTTTTGAGATGAGGTTAGCTGGGATTATCCAGGTGGCTCAGGTATAATCACAGTGGTCTTTCTAAGAAGGAAGAAAGAGATCAGAAAGATAAAAGATGATGAGGTGACTAAAGCTAAGGTTGTGGTGATGCACTTGGAAGATGGAAGAAGGGCCCAGAAGCCAAGGAATGCAGGTAGCCACTAGAAGATCTTCTCGAGCTAGAAGGAAATAACCCTGCTTAAACTATAACTTTTTAGCTCAATGAAATTAATTTTGGTCTTTTAATCTCCAGACCTGTAAAACAATAAATTTGTGTTGTTTCAAGTCATCTATTGTAGTACTACGTTATAGTAGTAATAGAACAATAATAACTACTCTCTTCTCATGTTAATTGATACTATAGTATTTTTTCAGTGATAGAAATTATAAGCATATACAGTAATAACCTTGGATTGAGATTTATTGACTTTTTAAAAGTTGAGGGAGATAGTTTTAAAGCAAAGTTGTACCTTCCATTTTTACCCATGATTTTTTTTTGAAGATTTATTTCTTTATGCATATGAAAACTGGGATGCAGGCCAGAGGTGTGGAAGATTAGAGGATTTACCAGAGATGGAGTGGGGAACAGAACAGGAGATTGAATGAAATATAATGCTGAGGGGAGCAGTGGGCAAGACAGAAGAGGTCTGCTGCACCATGTGGGTCACCTCCCTGGCTGGGAATTGAACTCGTGTTGCAGAGGCTGCAAATAGCTTTGTAGTGCTGTGTCTTAACCTCTTGCACCATCAGGGAGGTCTAATTTTTACCCATAATCTTAAAGGAATAATTTGAATATTCTAGTGTTATTCTGCTATCTCAATAGATTATAGTTTTGAAATCACTCTCTCCATAATTTTTAATTAGAACTTTTAAAATCATTGATATTAAAATATCATTTCAGGGCTTTCTAGGTAGTGTCAGTAATATTCTGAACAATGGTTAATGCAATTATATTTTTTTGTTTTTAGTGTTGTGTGATATTCTAATATTACCAATATATCTTGAAATGAGATGAAGTATATTAAATATTCCAGGTTATAATATATTCTTTGATATGTTTGAAAAATCCCAAAATATGAATTATAAAAGTCTTAAAAATTTCCACTTTTTAAAACATTAAGAATTTGTTGAAAATTTTTTACACTTGAACATATTGTTTAAATATAATCTTTCTTCCCATGTGACAGCCTCACACAAAGTATTTAAAGAAGATGAAGGTCTGTCATTGCTCTGTTTAATTAACAGAGACTTTTAGAATTAGAGGATGTTAAAAAAAGAACTCAAAGGAAAACTTCAGTGTGATAATAGTCTCATTTCACATCAGAATTTTAACTAGTAAAAATTCTATTTACAGGTGTCATCTGGTAGAACTAGTCAATCTTAATTTTATATTGTGAGTTTTTCTTTTCCCAATTACTTATACAAATCAGATGGTAGAATACAAAAGCATGCTGAGAGGCTTAGATTTGCTTCTTATTTAGCAATGCTGTAACAATTTCTTTTTCTATCATCTCAGTTACTTTGTCTTGCATCTAAATTGCTTAAAAATCATATTACCTTTTAATTCATAAAAGGCAATGATAGTCTACATTCCAGTAGATTAACTCAGTGTTTCTAATGAAAGTGAAATCTTAAATGTTCATTTAGAAAACTTTTTAATTCACTTTGGATTACCCATTGACATTTACACTTGCACAAATATAATTCATCTATGATACAAATAACTTTACAGTAATTAGTAGGTAATGTTAAGGGTACTTTTTTGAATTCTTATTTTTAGTTTTCTTCTATAATAAAATAATTTGTGAAGGCCTAGCATTCTAACATACTACATATACTGACTAGGCTGTATTCAAATTATTCAATAAAATGTTTCCCATTGAATAGTTGCTATGGGAAACAGGTATAGTTGTTGTCAATTAAGATTTTCCCCCCAATTATGACTAAGAAAGAAAGAATTTAATTATTTAACTTTCCACAGTATACAAAGTACCTCAACCATTAAGACTGGTTGCATAAATTCCATAACAATTTCTGTACATCTTTTATAGACCTTTGAGATACTTGGTAAGATTGTAAAGTCAGAGTGAAATACATGGGTATCTTTCCCAATATTTTACTCATCTTTCGAGAAGTTTCATCAGATATAAACTTTATTGTCACTTGCCTGTTCGATAAATTCTAATTATAAGAAATTACTGAGAAACTCACTCTATGTTGACTATCAAATCAGGTGCTATGGTTTGATTTTTTTTTTCTTTGTAATTAGGTGGCAGTTTACAGAACTAATATTACCATCTTCTACAAATAAAGCCAGTCATTAGAATTATGAAATACATAGGGTCAAAAACATCCAATATGATTACATTACAGAAATGTTGCCTGAGATGGCAGGAACAATAGATATCTCCAGTGTGTGATTGAGAAAGTGATCTGTTCAGTGTTGACAAACTGGTTGTGGCTGTGTCTATGGGCCAGGTACTCAATCAACTGGTTCTGAAATCAAGTAAATTTGTAGTCCTTTGCACCGAGATTCTCTGTGTGTGTCTCTCTCTCTTTCTCTGTCTCTGTCTCCTCTCTCTCACATACACACACCCCATCTACTTTACCTCAATATAGTTCTTGCAAAGCATTCTGAACAAGCACATTTTAAGATAAATTTGCATATTATACTGTGTACTCTCTTATCAGCATTTTGTTTTGGCAGACAAGCACAAAAATAAAGCACATTTTAAAAAACAGCATAGGGCTGCTACATTATGAGCTCAAACTTTTTTCTTTCTTTTATCAAATTGACTGAATTAGATCCTAGTAAGTATAGAAATAAACCAAAATTAAAGTATTCTCAGAAATAGGCCATAGAAATTCATAAGCAAAAATTTTATCTAACTCTAAGAGAATCTACAGCTGCACTTCCCTCATTACCTGCAAATAGACAACCCTCTCTAGCTTCACCTGCAGTTTTCTTTCTTACACATACAACAGATGTACCAGAATTCTTCTGATTCTACATTATATATTTCCTTTCACATTAAAATAGGAATGTTTCTATTTCTCCCCTGCATACACCTACACACACAGATTTTCTTTATTTGTGCAATAAAGCACAAATAAACTTCTATAATTATGTACTGCTGTACAAATTCTAGTAAAAGTTAACCAAAGGCTTTGCAATGGAGAAAGTTATAACACTCTATATTTGTGTGATCAAATTACATTCCCCCTCTTAAAATTAAAAAGATAATATATATATAAACTTATAAATCAAAAAACACTTTAGACATCTTGTTGGTCACAATGTAGATTGTTTTAATTTAAAAAAAATAATCTAATAAATTGCCTCTGAGCAGTAGACAATAGTTAATGGTGTTAGATTATAAAGTTAAGTTCACATAGACACCCGGATTTTATATACAGTAGGATTTATTAGAAAAACAAATACTGGATAATTTATGATTTTAAATGGGGTAGAATAAAATTTAAAGGAAATATAAACAAGCTACTTCTTTCTCTATAATTGGAAATATAGAAGATTTAAACCTTATATATTTTTGTCAAAATAGTAATTATCCATAGATGACAGATGCTGCTCCCTTGTTAATGGAGGGTCTCAAATTTTACTCTGCATCTCATTGGGAAAGAAATATAAATTTTTAAAATAGAATTAACTTGGGGAAGGCATCAGTGCTGCAACTCTTAGCACCAAATGTTTTTTCTTGGAGCACCAAATGCTTTAAGGAAAACATTCCAAGTATCAAAGTTTTCAGATAGATAAATATTTATGGATCAAATCCATAAAGAACAGACATTGTTATGAAATATATATAGATGCCTTCAAAACTTTCTTTCTAAGCAGAGTAGACACATAAGTTAGGAGTCATTTCCCACTTAATTGTTTTTGCAACCTTATGCAACACAAATGGATTATGTGTTGCAATAGACTTATTATACACAGAAAGTAAATCTTGACTGGCATGTCCAGAAAATGAAACAAGAACTATTTCTCTTAAAAAATAAAATGGCATTACATTTACAGAAGTGTCTTTATTCTAACCTTCTCTCTTTCTGACTGAAAGGTGTAGAGTTTTTTAATTTAATCCTTTTGTGAGAAAACAATATTCATTAAGACAAATTCTTCTCATTTGCTAGTTAACAAAATTGAATAAAATCATAAAACAGATCTGGTTCATATCTTTAAGTGCAATGAAATTCCATCTGTCTTTGAACTGTATGGATGACAGGTTTTAGGCTATATATAGATCACTTCTTCACCCTCTTCATTGAGAGCTCTTGATAGTGGTCTCAGAATAGGATACCATTTCCATTATAATCCAAAGAAAGTTATTTTGGTATATAAAGGCAAAGGTCTACTTACACTGCTCATAAGACAAAAATATAAGTGCCATACAAATGCCATGTGATACTAGCAAATTCAAGGTAAGTTTTCAAATACCATTTATCAATATGCACTGATCAGAAATGAATTATCAATTTAAGAAAATAGCAATAGGACCTATCCTAGATGCAAAGGTGGGTATACAAAGCACACTAGGTGTATACCAGGCTTTCATATCACACGTGCACACACATGGATCATTACAGCCAATAGCATCGTTTGTGAACATAACTGATTTGTGGAACTAAATATAATTCTATTGCTATAACTAACCAGGACAATTATACATTCAACCAAACAAGTCTTGAGTTTATGTGGTAATAAAGAAAATGGTAGCATAGACACAGGTAAAATTTTATTTATGAATATACAGACACATGACTTTGGATCCAGCCAGCCAGTGACATAAATAAACTTTGGCAAAAGATCTGAGCTAGAGGAGTGTGTATGTGTGTGTGTGTGTGTGTGTGTGTGTACTTGTTTATGAGTAAACCTTCTTGGAGCAGTGCCACAAATCTGGATACCAACCAACAGGATCACTCCTGTTCCTTGAAATTTCCATTAAGAGCACAATGGGGGTAATTATACTGGGATGCTCCAAATCGCTCTTTCCATCTTGTGCACTCATATGCCCGCCAAACATGAAATGTTCGCCTTCTCCCTTCCAATGTGATGGTTGTTGAACTTATTTTTAGTGTCATTTGATAAGCTTTTGTGCTCGCAGAGAGACATTCCACTGACCCAGCCACTGGTCATTGTCTATACCAGTTCACATCAAAGCACTCGTGCTTTGTCAGGTTTCGAGACGAATATCCATTTCGCATCTGAAGTACAGTATCGAAAGTGACTAGATCATTTGAGCCTTTTTCTTCAGCTGCTGCCTTCTTCCTCCCCCACAGTGTTTCTGCTCACGCTAACATAATTTGGCATCGTCGACGTGACATGGTGGTTTTTCTAAAAAATGATAATACATACAATTTTGATGTTTTGAGGTGGCCAAGCCTACTGAAAATTTAATTTATAAATCGATGACAGAAGTATTTTTTTCTCTACCAAATCTTAACCAAGGTAGAGTGCCCCTCAAAATCCAAGTAATGCGTATACAGCAATAGGTCATTCAATGTCAAAAGGCATAAAAAAGATGAGCAAAATCTTCACAGGCTGCTGCTTGCTGTTGCCTTTAATTATATTAATTAAACTTTGAAATTTTCATGCAAAGAGAGTTGCTGGCTTGTGACGCTGAAGAGCCCTTGGAGACTTGGAGCAAGAAAAAACCCTGAGCAGAAGCTTTGTGGTTACTGCTTCCTTTAAATTAAAAGCCAAACAAACTCCTAGGTATGTTTACAGATATCAATGCTTTATGCACTACTAAACCATAAACATAGAAAGAAGGGTAAATCTACCAATCACAGGGATAAGTTCTCAAATCATGAGTCCCTTTAGCTCCACTCAAGTTAGAGGCTATCTTCCAGTGGAATAACGCTCTATTAATTTTCTTCTTTTCCCGAGTGCATAATGAAAGAAAGGTGTCTTCAAAAACTAAAGGGCAAAATTGTGCTTGCTACCAATACCTTGAGGCATCATGTCTACATTTTGACATGTGGGTGCACTTTTCAGTGTTTTAATGACAAGATTTTCCAGTCAGAAGCTTCCCATAAGGTACACTGTGGAAGATTTTGCGATTTGACAAAGTTATAAGGCAATGGATTCCTTTATCTGCTTAGCCTGGTGGGAAATCTCATACTCAGCCTGTGGCTAGCAATCTTGCCATGTGAAAACACAAGTGCCATGTTTCCATGGTAAACTCTCCTTTCTCTGTGAACAATCAATCACAGCTACTTGTTTTGTGGGCTCCATTTTTATGTCATCTCCATGCTCTCCATCTTCATGCTTTTGTCTTTTCTACACATTCAAACTAACTTTCTGTATAAACTATAGCATGTAGATTAACCCTCTTTCTTTTCAGTGTCATGAATCATGAGTTACCACTGGGTTTCATAAACATCCATGTAGATGGCAGAACAAGTGTTTGAAAATGTTTGGTGTAAGCAAAGCAGAAGGCAGAGAAAACATTTCCTGACTGGAAGGAATAAAGCTGCTCTTCCCAAAACTTCTGAAATACACTTGTTTTTGTTTTTTGGTGTGTTTTTTTTTTCTGTTGGGTTGGAAATCAGCAGTGTGAAGATGGACAATCTTGACACTTTCTTGATCTTCTTGGTTTCCTTTACTGAGATGGAACTCGGGAGAAGTTTATGCACCGGCCCTAGAAAAGAAACAAATCCATATTTAAATACTAAAACAATTATTAAAAAGCATCAGAACATCTTATTGTCTACCATGATCTAGTAAGTGAATACCCAGGGAGAGTTCAATGTTAAGATGAAACATGAAGTCATAAGATCTTTTGCTCTTGGGTCAAAGCATGATGATGGCTCATTCTGTAAAGACTGAATAAAGTTCACCCACAAAATGGTATGGAAATTTTGGGTGAAAAAAACAGTATGGAAGATAGAAATAGTATTTGTATTTAAAATACAGCATTATTATCCTAGCAGTAAGGTATCAGAGAAGCACTATATGTTTCTTTCTATAATGAATTGAAGTTAAAGTACTCCTTGACACAATCCGATGCTTCTAAAACTGTTATAAAACTGATGCTTCAAAAATGTTCATGTGAGAAATGCATTTAAGAGGTGGTAAGAATTTGAAGATAAGGAATTGGTGAGATAGAGAAGAGATACCCTCCTCTTGTGATTCTATTTTACAAAAGGCTTTGCAAGAGATTTAGTAACCATCTTATTTACTATTGTTGACTACTCCTCATAACTGCATACCACCATGTGTTCTCTCCACACAGCGACTATATATTTGCATTGCATATTTCTAAAGAGACTTTCCATTCCAATTCCTTAGCAGTTCAAAGAAGGTTGGAGTCAAATTGTTTCATATATAATTGTAAATAATGTAAGAATTATTTGAAAACAAAGTTTCCAATTAGTGGTAAAGAATCCCTCCCTTGTCCTTTGTTGGCACTACTTCTACACAAATCACATCCAAGTTCCTCCATAGGCCAGAAGCTAGAGTACTACTTTCTAGTGTAGGTTCAGGATAAACACCCTACTGAGATTTTTCTGTTTCTTATAATATCTGATTTCTAATTTCACATTTTCAAACCTATTATTTAACTCTAAATGTGAACAATAAGTTTGTCTTAAATATCCAATATATGGTAATATTGAAAAGGAGCAAAACACATTGTTTGATTAAGAGGAACATGAGGACTGTACATACAAGCATTTTGAAACTATACTTTTTTCATATAATCTAAAAAAGTTTTTCTAAGAGTATAAATTCAAGAGGTCTAAATACTGAAAATTTCTTTGCTAGGTGAAAAAAAAAAACACAGTATCATTCTAAATAAATTATAAATGTATTAACAGCCCAATTCATCTCTCAGAGCAGAATTCTGAGTGAAAGCTTTACTATTTCACTCTCCCTCAGTATTAGAAAAAACAGAATGTACAAAAGATAATCAACAATAAAATATTGGCATAATAAAGGCTCAATTCACAATGAGAATCTATCAACTTTAACTTTACTTAAGTGATTTTTAGGCAATAACATGTATCTATTGAGTAAGAAGTTCACCAGCATTTTTCTTGAAATTATTGTTGGCAATACATTTGCTTAGGGCCCATAATAAGCTGACAACCAAAATTAAAATGTCTGGTACCATATTAATTCTCTTCAGTTAACTAAGCCAAGAGATGAAAATAACACAATGGTAGTTTCTGCTGGTTAAGTATCTAGACCCCTGACTCGGTTACAATATCTGAAAACTGATTTTACCCATTCGTTTTCACTATGACCGGTGAGAACAACATTAACCAGAGCCAAGTGCCATGATTCCCATCTCTTGAGCATTAAAATTCTGCTGGCATTAACATTTGTGAGCTCCTTTACTAGCTATCTGCACAGGATATATTTCACTGCTATAACAGTTAGTGCATTATGCTCACCTCATAAATATCCATTGACAAGCTGAAGCATACAACTGTACTTCAGTTTAGACTTTTCAAACACAGATAGCTGATTTATTTATATCTCCACTTCTAAAAAGAGTTTACAAACCTTCATGCTTTGTGCAACAGCAAACCGTGATTCAAATTTTAAATTGTACACAAAGCACAGGTACACATAGAAATAGACAAAAGACAATTCGAGAGGTCCTAAAAACATGAATTATCAGGAAAGAATGCTGACTTCAGACACAATAGTTCTCTGGAAGAACGACAGAAGAGAAGATACATACTACACACACACACACACACACACACACACACACACAAGAAGATAGAGGCAGGTAAAGAGAAGAGATATGTATATATGCATAGAGATCTAGCTATATATGATATATAGAAATTGAAATAAATATTGTTCTCTCTATATGTCTATCTATGTAGATCTAGGGATATATGAGACTCTATGATACCCTCTACTCAAAATAAAACTGCAAGATTTTGATCTGAAATAAACATTTCATACATTCTTTTCTAGTGGAAGCCCAACTTATAAATGTCCAATTTTAAAGTGGAGACCACATACCATATGGAATTTCAGTGCATAGATAGTCAGTGCATATCATAAGGAAAGTTCTGAGTTTGTCTGACAAATTTACCTTCAATTTTTTTCTCTCTATTCTGTTAAGGTATCTGCAAAATTCTAGTGACTCTTTAGTTAATATTTATTTTTGCAAACATCCATAACTCAGTTTTTCTTGAGATTTCATATAGTTGGCAGTTAATGAAATGTTTCATTCAAGTAAGATATGAAATAAACACCTTGTTACTTATAAGAAAGAAATCATTACTTCAGAAATCATTACTACCAATACCTTTTCTTGGGTCTCATGATAAGTTAAACTGGAAGTATATGCCCAGAAGAGATAAATACATAAAATCAGAGCAACCAGAACAGAATATTGGATGACTTTTTAATTGGTATTTTGTCATTGGGCACAACATAGGTAGTATAAGAATTATTTTCATCTTTTTAACCTCAATTAGAGTGCTGATTAAATCTTAGGTCTTCAACCAATAGAAAAAAATTGACCATTTAAATATGAAACTCAAAGCTATAGAAAATAAATTTTGCAAATGCACATTGTAGGATTACTGGTATTAAATACTGGAAACAAGTCAGATCCATCATTATGGACAAGATGATTAAATTATAAAGATAGATGATGGAACATGATAAATAAAATGCAACATCAGAAAGAAAGGAGACTCTATATACACCATTGTGGAATGATGATCCGGATTTATTTAAGAGAAAACATCAAAGTGCATAAAGAATGCACACTATATTTCATGTTACAAAGAAGAAAAATATACTGGGATCAATGTATACTTTTATTTTTAAGAAAATAAAATAAACTTTAAAATAGAATTAGTTATAGATAGGTAGAAGGAGTGTGCATAGTAGAGTGGCTAAGGATATAAATGAGATATTTTTGATCAGTATTTTTATTATATAACATCAAATGCAACCATGTAGATACTTACCACTTTCCCAAAAAGTCATGAAATAAAAAGAAATCACTAAAAACTAAAATAACCTTCACCAAGTGTAAAGCAGAACCCTGTCTAAAACTAGGACATGGTGGAAAATATGAGTGAGACTATCCACATTACATGAGGTTTTCCTTGAGAGCAAAGGATTAGTCAATGGAAGGCTGGGAGAAAAGCAGGAGGGTAGAGAAATATTTTTCTCCTCGAAATGCATGAAGGGACTTCCCTAAGAAAACAGCAGCAGCCAGCGGTTGAGCGCTGGGTTGCGAAGCTGCCAGCAGCCTCTGCGGCGCCAGTTCGATCCCCGGCTGCTCCCCGGCCACTGGAGGAGGGTCCCACATGGCGCGCAGACCTCTCCTGCCGCCCGCTGCTCCCCTCAGCAGTGTACTTCGGTCCTTCTGCCTGCTCTGCTCCGCGCTTTGGCTCTGGTGAATTCTCTCACCCTCCCGCGCTTCTGACTGTACCCAGTGCATGTATAAACAAAACAAACAAACAAACAAACAAATAAATAAATAAAACATGCCTCTATTAAAAAAAAAAAAAAAAAAAAGAAAACAGCAGCAGCCCACTGAAGATTTTGGGCATTGCAAAAGGAATGAGAAAAATAGTTGTATGAGACACAGGGCTTTCCTGAACCATACAACAGCAACCTGTTGAAACCTGGGAACAGAACAGAGGAAAAAAATCCCTTGAAGACTCATCATGTCTTCTCAGAAGCCATGGTCCTTAAATTTGGAGATGGTAGATTTATATGGAAACCTGTTTCTCAAGGTACAGAAAGTGGTGGTGGCAGATGGTAGGTGGAGAACAAGAAACCTGCCTAAAACATAAGATGGTCACAGGTGGGCTGTAAAGCAGAAAGAGATAGAAAGCACATCTAAAGAAAATCTCTGATCCCACTTTCAAAACTATTGAAGTCAGTAGGTAATAAAGAACAACTAAAACAAACAGGGGCCCAGCTGAACTACAGATTAGCAACATAACAGAAGAAGTGGTATGTACTCTTCTAGAGAAAAATATTATCTAGGTTAGTCTTATCTCTTAATGCATAAAGTTCAGCATTAAAGCATAAACTATGGTATACATAGAGAAGCAATAAAATATGACTCATAATCAAAAGAAAACACAAGTCCATAGTTAGTAGACACGGACTTTAAAGTAATTGACACAAATATTAAAAGTGTTAGTATGAATGGTAGATAGCATGTATGAAAATATGGTGAATTTCAGTAGAAATATGTAAACTATAAATAAGAACAAAATGGAAAAGTAGACAGGAAAAAATGGAATAATGTTTTTGAATCATGTAAAAAATATAATCAGAATGACAAAATATAATCAGAATGACAAAATAAGCTTATAGCACCTACTTTCTCTTATCTTTGCATCACTAATATAACAACTGCTGCACTGCATTAAAAAGTGCACAGCACCACGGACAAATAATGCTTGCCAAAAGAAAAAAGGTGAACCTGATTCAGAGTAAGGGGTGTAGAGTACCAGTATATATGAGTGTGTGTTGGGGAACAGTGTTGGAAGAAATGCAATTGTATAAAAACGTTTTCAGGTAGCACTTGGGCAGAGATTCAAAGGAAATCAATGAAATGAGACTATCTGGGGAAGACTAACTATGTTAGATAAGCCATCAATACAAAGGCGGTGCAGAGAAATCTTTGGGGAATTTGTAGGA